AACCCCAGACCATGTTCATGGTTGGCGAGTGTCCTAACCGTTGTGACACCTACGCATTGTAGTGTGAACATAGGGAATCATTATGGAAGATTTGAAGTTTCTTAAAAGATATACATACAAAGTTATATCCCATTGAAAATTTAGGACACAAAGGAATTTCATTGAAGGAGCACATTTCTAACATTTTATTATGCTCTTGGGTTTCGAGTGGAACATACGGCTTCAGCAGTATATCTTCATTTCACCCTGTTCTCCACAATCTGTTTTGTCCAGTCCCATTATCTTCCATAAGCTTTCATTTTCGTCTTCACTCGATCTCCTGTATGTAACCCTCTGACCAACTCTGAACTCCTCAATTCCCGTTCACGTTTTGTTCAAGCGCCTGGTATCTGATGCGACTCACCGGTCTTCTTAGTGCACCTCAAGAGTGCCTCTACTTCCTTCTTCATATTTGTTTGACGATGGCTTTGTAGTACATTCGCCGCTGGCTAGAGTTTCTTGTCACTAATCCTTTCTGACCAATCATCTGATCCTCGGTATCGAGTGAATACAACTGTTTGTAAGAGTCTGCATCAGGTTGTTTGAAGTGCTTCCGATGACGTGTCAAATCTCTGAACCATAAACAGGCACTGACTTGACACAATCTGAATAAATATTTTGCTATCAGGTCTAGAGACTACAAGTTCACCTAACGCAGACAATCTGGACGGCAGTGATCACATTTTACTTAAAGCTTACTACTGTCAGTTTCTGATAATATTTTCCTAAAAGTATCACACCGGTTGACTGCTTATAACGCATTCTGAAAGCACATCAATATGCTTTCAAACCGTTGATTACACTATAGTACTGTTAGCCTACTTGTATTGCCACCCAGCAGACTGATACCTAATAAAGAATGGTGCATTTCTAGTCCACATTATTTTTTATGCGTATAAAACTGCGGTAACTATAACTGAACGTTGACAGCAATCTGAAACATTCTATCAAACCATTCAAGTCAATGAGTGCACGAAATATACATGAAACAAATCGTTCTTCTAATAAATAAACAACCATTTTCTTTATCACAGTAATGAAGAGTAGTTAAACTTCAGTCTAGTTGGTCACTTTTGAGAAACCACTATATTTTATTATTATTTTATTCCTTTGCGTTCCGAGTAGAACACAGGGCTTCAGGTATACGCTTTGAAGTTTCGGTTACAGTGGCGTTTATTTTACCGGAGGGGATGGGACTGCTAGCCTCGCGCCCAACCTATGCTCTTTATCTGACTTATAGCCGGCTAAGGGAGGTAGAGGTATGTGCCAGCCGAGAATCAAACTGCGGACCACATGTGAAGTGGTTGGCGATCAATCTACCGCTGAACCACCGACGCAACCACTGTCATGTATGTATTTCTTAATAATGACTGCAGTTTATCGGTAGATTAGAACAATAATCACTAGGCTTGAAACCTGCTGCTATCTCTAAATTCGAGCTGATATTTTTAAATTATAGCTTGATTCAACATAGTATTTTGGTACAAATATGAAATTTCCAGCATGTGATATCGGCAGCCTAAATTTAGCAGGCCAACCATTGATATCAGGTGTGCATTGGCCGGGGATCGAACCTCGGACCATGTGCATGGTCGACGAGGGTCCTAACCTCTGTGTCACCGATAATTAGAGATAATATATAAGATTTCAAAACTCGTTTATTAGTCAAAATACAATGCAGCACTTCAGTGAAGAAGCTCTTTTTCGGTAAATTCATTTTATTTGGCTGTACAACCTCATTTATATACAATTTTCTTTTCACAGAAGATGATAGTTACAGAAGTGATGATTTGTCATAATTATATTTGTCAATATTCATCGCTACATAAGAAGAGTTGGCTGTGGGTGTAAGAGAGTCACGTGAAAAAAGGTATTGCATATATAACTGCAATTTTACGGTGAAAGAAAATGAATTCGCTAAAAAGAACTTCTTTTTTTACTGAACTGCTTGTTTTGGTTTTTCATTACTGTCTGCCTGAATGAGGATTATTCACGGAATTACTTGTCAGGTTTCTTTTTTATCTATCTGGGTAGATTTCATTTCGTCATGCAATGTCTGTTCATTGCATACTGTTTTTTTATTTCTAGCAACTTTTGCTGTAGGTAGAGTAGTAATATAGAGAGAAAGAGGTATCATCTTGCATCATTGTGTGTTTGCTTAAATTATGACTGTCTGATTAAATCCGATATTCAGCATAACATAAACATTCCGGGAAAGTAATTAAATAGTCTATCAGCTTGGAAGTATCTTTAGTCTCATAAAAGTCTTTTAGGAAAAAAACATAGACAGACAATAGGCTTATCTATAAAAAAAGTAGTCTGGAAGAAACACTAGAAATTTGAGACAATTTTTTAATCCAACATTTGACTACTTTGCAGCGTATACAGTTTTCGTGCAGTTTTATTCTGTCACCGCAGGAATCTCAGATCTAATGTTTCAGTCACAGTACTGTGTACAGATTTCGCGATTAGTCCACTTTCTCTACGTCGAAAAAAATCTGAAAATGTCTACTTGTTTTTAGAGTGGTCGTACACTTATTTCACGTTAAAACTTAGCAAACAGACAAGGATTGGAAGACAAAAAATAATTCAACTATATTTGACGAAATCTCTGTTGTTGGTGTGAAATATCATGCTGTTTATTAAAAAGCGCCTTTTCAGGCATCTGGAGGAGACATTTCAGACAACCGTCTTGAGAATCATATTCTTCAGTCAGTCAAGTCAAGCATTAAGGACAAGATACCACTTTAGGACACCTGAGTGTGCATTTACCAGTGAAGGAAAGTGAACTTATTTTGGAAAGTTGTCCAGCCTGGCTAGCCAGAGAGAATCACCAATATTTCTGTCTTCAGGACATCAACAACCTCTGAATACTTGCTTCACATTAAGACACAAAGTTCCCTAATATCGCATAAAAATACTTCAAAAACACTATGTATACGTGACCAAATCACTGGCAATTCAGAACCTGAAAGCTAACCTCTACGTTCGAAAGTATTATATATGCTAACTCGTCTTAATATGCTTAGAGTAACATTCTTTCCATAATTTTTCACTTACTATAGGTGTTTGAGAAGTAGGCACCGAAGTAAATGATACATATTTTTTTTTACTTTTTACTGTTTTCAAATGCTATTTATCCAAACTAAGAATCTATTCCACTTGCGTTACAGTATTAGTGTTATTTAAACCCCTATCAAATATGTATTAGGTTTCTCGAAAAGAGCAATCCCTATTTAATGATGAAATGTGCCATTTACCGTTCATCTAACCGAGATTTGTTTTGTTTACAATCTGCAGTACACAGTGGTAGAAATTTGTATGAATACGTAAGAGAAAAGCTTAAGACCCACTTTGAACCAAACGTTTGAAAGTACCTAATCACAGTTCCTAGCTGACATGAAGATTGCAGAAAATAAATAAATTATCACTGTCATTATCCATTTAATGTAGTGCTTTTCATAAATCTACAAAAAATTTGAATCTCCTGCGTAAAGTACCTTAAATCACTTTCCTCATTTGAACGTGGCTGTCTTTAAGCTTATTCATTACTAAATGGTTGAGGTCGTAGCAATTTCGAAATTGCGATTCATGTATTATTATTGTATCCTTTAGTTCCTACAGGAACATAGGGCTTCAGCCGTGCGTCTCCATTGCGTTCGGTTCTCTGCTAGAGTCTTCACCTGGCTCCATGTCTGCCCACACGTTTTCATCTCCTCTTCACATGACCTCCTCCAAGTCACCCACTCTAGCACTGACGACCAACTCGCCGCTTTCCTTTCGGGTTCCACTCAAGGGGTTGTCTAGTGATGTCACTTGATGGTTTCCTAAGAGTATGGTCAATCCATCTCCATTTCTTCCTGCCTATTTGTTTCACAATCGGTTCCTGGTTGGTTCGTTCCCAGAGATCCCTGTTGCTGATCTTTTCTGGCCATCTGATCTTGAGTATTGAGCGAAGACATGTGAAATGAAATAAAGATGCTTCCAATGATCAAAGTGCACCGCGATAATTGTTCAAAAATCCCTCCCTAACCATATACTTACAATACTGATGCTTGTTTGAATAATACACCTGGTTGTGTAGTTATTACTATTTCCCCCTTGGTCTGTCTGCAAAGTGTTTGAAAGTTTACCGATCTTTTGATTTGATCGTAATTATTGATTCTTTACTGTGGTTGATTCCTCTTCCTAATGTTTTACTTTACTACTGGGTGATGGTGGACTGTTAATGAAAACGTGTTGTCTCAGAATTGTGGCTTTATTCGAATGAATTCGAGGCTGTACCATAAGGACTATTTCTCCCTAGATGGTAAGCAGGAAACATATTTGGTTTGTCTAATTCTCGCTGACAGAGTTTTGATCCCACCTTGTTGGGAATAGTCTTATTAATTCTGACGTATTTCCTACGGTTGTTTTATTTTTTGTGAAATATTTTTATCGTACAGTATGTGTTTGTACCTGACTGCCTAACTGTCTTTTTGCTACCGTCTGGATATTTTCTGAACTGTGAATCACTCGTAGAAGTTTGGTTAGCTTCATTACAGAAAGACGTATCGATTGACTCCCTGTGTTCACACCGAAATACTTAAGTTTTTCTCGTCACACAGATAACCTAAAAACATTCAATTATATTCGGTTGGATGTCCTAACAGTTTAGTTGTGGAACTAGAAACAGAAAGTCACGTATGTCTTAGAGTGAGGGCAGATACTTCTAGTGTTCCAGTAGGTGCTTGATTATGAGTTGCAAATACTCAGACTTGATGAGATTACTGCCAATGACAAGAAAACGTTCGACTTTTAAACAGAATGTGCAAGGCACGTACAATTAACTCCTTACATTGTCCTACATAATCTGAAGTGCATACGATAAACAGTTCAAGTGAAATGAAATAAAGGATTGGCTTTATTGTATTCTAAGAAGCAAGGATTGTAATATAAAATATTACAAAATGAGTGCTTACCTCCATTTCTGTAACATTCATATTTGGTTCCTCTTGAGTTTGATGAATTAAGTAGACAAGACCACCGAGTAGTGTTGTTAAAATTGTATAAAAGCTAATGGTCAACAGCATTAATGTTGTCGATTTAAAACTTGGACTAGTACGTTTACCATGTGAACTTTTTCGTGATGCATTAAAATCTAGCCCGACAACATCAGAACTTATACGACTAGAGATGTGAGGTCGACCATTAATAATTGTTGGTCGACCATTATTATCAAATGAATTAACTGGATGCCTAGAAGCAAGTGATTTATCCGAATACTTTGGTATTTCTCGTGAGCTACGCATATTCAGATTTGTTTCAATAGAAGGATTTGTCGAAATTAACTTATCATTTGTTCGCTTTCGATTAGATTGTATAGTAGATGAATGTCTATATGTATTCTGTGTTGAAAATAAACTTTTAAAACAAGATTTAATCTTATTTTTATGTAATATTTTTGGTTTAATTTGTAATTCATTTTGTCCAGTGATTGACATTGATGGTGTAGTCGATGAAGAGGATAATTGATTAGACATAAGAGCTAATTGTTTATTAGCTCGATGAACTTTTGCAAGTTCTTTGATAACTAAACAGTTGAAAATTAACACTAATAATGGTACAACACCAGCAAATACAGCTTCTAAACAAGATAAATATACACTGACTATTAAAGCATTTATATGACGTTTATTACATGTATTATTTTCAGTAATAAATATATATGCATGCCCAGAACAAACTAAAATTGTTCCAATAATAATTGAGAAACATATATAGATTGCTCTTCTTGGACTACATATTCTATCAATGGCGAATGGTTTACATATGGCTAACCATCTTTCCACAGTAAAAGCAAGAACAAATAATGGTGAAGCATACTGTACAGCCGGTGATAAGATATTCTGAACTTCACATGATCCCGGGGAAAAATGTTGATGAATATTCCAAACACGTGATAAATCTCTGTGCAATGCAAAAATTAAAACAATAATGTCATTGATAGATAAAGCAGCCAGATAGACAGCAGCTGAATTCTCTCGAACCATTCTTTTGTTAGACCATATAATCAAGGAGAGTAAATTACCAGGAAAACCCAGTATATAATAAATTATGGTAACATATCGATCGACAAATAATGCCATTGGAACAAACCGTGTAGCGAAGTCGATCCATGTTGGATAGACTTGAAAAATAGTTCCATCTGAAGTGTTGTGTGCTGTTATATTGTTAGTTAAAAAACTACTTTTCACTTCATTTGTCTCCATTGGAACTGACTGAACTATATGAATATATATCAGAAAAAGGGTAACTGCAGTTACTTGAGGCAGTTTACCAAAATTCATGAGGACAGTTGACGCTGAATAGTATCTGTTAGACAAAAAAAGAAAATGATTACAGGTTAAGAGTGGTGTTATCTCGGTAGCAATGAAGTTATTTCAAATAAATATAAATTCTACACATTATTAAGTACAACCAACTCTTCACACATATTATTTAGATCGTTTCTCAAAACTGCATAAACTTTAATAAGTGTTTTTTTATAATACACAACAGTTATTATTTATTATAATTCCCTTGGGATACAAGTGGAACATAAAGCTTCAGCAGCAAATCTCCACTTCACCCTATTCTCTGCAGTCCCCTTCAGATGGCCCCATGGTTACCTAATAGCTCTCATTTCCTCAAGGGATCTCCTCCATGTCACTCTCAAACCAACGCACAAATTAGTTGTTCCACTTGAGGGCCTGGCATGCGACGTCATCCAGTGGTTTCCTCAGCGTGTGTTCGATATGTCTCCATTAACTTCAGCATATTCTTTTGTCTGGAAATAGGTTCTTGGTTGATTTTTCCAGAGTGCCTTCTTGCTGGTTCTTTCTAGGCCATCTCATCCTCAGTGTCTAGCCAATGAAGGCTGCTGTTGATTGAAACCTTCAGCAGGCTGTTGGAAATGCTTTTCATGATGCACCACGTTTTTGACACATCTAGAAAAACTGACTGACTTAATAGTGGTGCTAGGGATGTAAATCTTATTGTTTGTGCTGACTGAAGCAGATTTTCACACTGATTTTAGAGTGATGAAGGTCTGCCTTGCCGTTTCCTGATTGCGAAATATAGATGAGGTGATGCCGTCTATTGAGACTGTAAAGTAGCTATACTAGATTTATGAGCATCGATAAGAGCAAATGTGGGTTCAACAACTATTTTCTTCAATTGGTTCCGTTTATCTGACAATATTTAAATCTCAGCAAGCACACCTAAAAGGAGACAGGAATTAACTACGTCAATAAGAAGATCATCCCGGAAAATAATGAAATATCTTAAGTCACACACACACATAAAGAAAATGTAGGGAAGTATTTTACATTTAAGACACTGAAACGTTTTTATCCCATTTATGAGTGTAAGCTTGCGTGATTTTATTATCTCTATTATTATTAATCTAGTCAAGTTGAAAACAACCCACTACTTCATAAAGTGCAACAAACTAGCTGAAGAAGCAGATAAGAAAGGACTCCAGACGAACATATAGAAGACAGAGGAAGAAGATAACTGACCTCTACTAAAGCAACAAAAACCAGTACCAATTAACATCAAATGGAGAGATTTGACAGAGGTTACATCCTTCAGTTATCTAAACAGCTAGCATCAAAACAACTACAAGCAGTCGGAACGGATGAAGATGTCAAAGTCAGCCAGAACTGGAAAGTCAAGATACACCTTCATCATACTGAAACCAGTTTGGAAATGTTTTGAACTCAGTCAGAATAAAGAACAATATTCGAATTCCTAACACAAATGTAAAGCCTTTCCTTCTAAGCGAGTCAGAATCTTGACCAGCGTCTCAGGGGAAGGATTTCCAACAAGTTACAAACCTTTCACATCAGCTGCCTTCTCTGGCTCCATACCGAAGATCAAAGGGCCAAACGGAAAGAATTAGCGACTAGAAAAGCTTGCTTGGAACAAACCAACTGAGAGGCGATTGGTCAATAAATATGGAGGAGAAGATGGAGATGTATTAGGCGTACGTTGAGAAGACCTTCGAATGAAATCGCGCGCAATACAGACAATTGCTCAATTGGAACTTAAATGGGAAGTGACGAGTAGGTCGTCCCAGAGTGTCGTGGAAGATATCGTCCTAGGATGAGATGATAGATTATGATCAATCGTGGACCCAGCTGAAGAGGACAGAAATCGGAGATGAGATTTATGAAAACCTGCAGGAACCAAAATTTTGTCAATTTATTCTATGTTGTGAAATTGTTATATCAACTAACAGTTAAAGTATGGAATTAAGTGTATTAAAATTCTTATTCTGTCAGTCAGTCTAGATTGGCTCATTATTATATTTGATAAAGGATGAACAGTAATATCCTGCCTGTTTATTTTATAAGTTCAATTAAGTTAAGCATATTGAATTTTACGAATACTTTAACAAAAAGGTCAATAGAATCTGATTATAACTATCGAGTTCCGGAATTCTGATAACTATAGCAAATAATGTTACTTCACTATAGACGCAAATTATTACGCAAAATTTATGATTGAATGACATTCTGTTCTCCCTAGCACTTCTTAGTGAAACTTGTGCTTCTACTGAATGTGAAGAAGATGACTCAAATACATGGAATAAGTGAAAGTTCATAATATTATGGAGAAGATTCCTAGCTCAACCGTTATGTCCTTTAAACCGGATGGCTTAATCGCAACAATTTCAATATCCTTCTGGACAATACCTTCGGAACTAAATGTAAAGTGAGCATTTTGGAATTCTCCATAGTTGATATAACTGCTTCTCATAACGTCCCTGATCGTGACTGACAGTCCTCAGAATTTTTATTATCCTTGTGATAATTTGTGCTGATGTCGATGGTTTCGTTGACCTTGTATTTAACCTTTTCCCTCATTTGAGTCATTCTATATTGATTAATCAATTCATCTTATGTTAGTATGCCTGTTGAGTAAAAACTGATATGAGTATCAAGGTTCTTCGAATTCTCTAGATAAGAAACCTTCTGAAAGGAACTAGTCGCGGCCAGGGTCATCAGAAGGGACAGTTGTTAAAACTCATGAAGAATTCCAAAAAAATTCACTTCATATTGAAGTAATCGCTAGAAATGTTGTCTAGAAGGTATCCTTTTTCATCTGTCGAACATTAAACAACGAACGCAATTGAAATTGCAGGAAACAAAAATTTTCACCTTCACTCTAAGAATGGGGAGTATATATTTGCCTACAAAAATGAATTAATTTGGAGCTAAAATTTACATCAAAGGTCAAAAGAAGACAGTTGTTTTATGAATCATAATTAGCAGAAAAGGATCTTTTATATGAAGTGATCCTTACATAGGCAAGTCGATATATAAGAAAATTGGTTATTAGTTTGAAGTGATATTTTGGATTCATGATATGATTTAGCATTATAGAGCTAACCAACAAACAGATCACCTCACTTATTCCCACGAGAAGCTAGACAAAAGCTGTTTCTAAACCCGATTAGGCTGAAATTTTCTTTCGAGTTCCAGTTTTTATTCTGAATCGGGATTACACCTTCTCAATTTGTGCATTATTAAGTAATTGTCTGTCAATTAAAATATATTTTAAATATATTGCCGTCTTTGCTCATCGAACTTCTAAAAGTGAGTTCCAACTTGACGTGCGGAAGTCCAACGAGTCGGCTTCATAACCTGAAGGTTGGGGTCATACATTCACAATGACATTAAAACGGCTATCTAGCTTTCCTTGATTTTCGATGATTTTCTAGCTGATATTGGTCCACATTCACTTCGCTTTGTAGATCATCAGTTATGCTATCAGACAGATCACATACTATGATCAAGAGAATTTTGATTTCCAAAATAAGCTGAAATGAATTCTCATACAAGTTCGCCCAAGTAGCTAGCCAGAATTGAAGTGGTTTGAAATGATTCAGCTGTCTGATCTAAGTGTTTCTGGTTAAAATACTGAAAGACTTAATCACAAACGATTGAAACTGTCGTCTGATGGTCAGATCACTTCATTCTAAGTGAAAAGCAATGCTGAGAGGAGTGGTTAATTTCAGACTATATGTATCAATCAGTAGTATATAAGCAAGTTAGACCACAAAATATTAATCCTTTCAAGTATTGGTTTTGTGGAGATTTTGTTTGATTTGAACATGAACTGCCATGAATTGTCAGAAGTTAGAATTCATGGGCCTACGGATCAGGTCACAGTGGCTTAATGGTCTACGAGCTCGCTAGCCTTGTAACCAGAAGGTCCTAGGTTCGAACCTCAGTGGGTGTTTACCTTTCAATGGTTCAAAACTGGGACGTAACAGCAGATTTTCCAATGGTTCTCCAACTGACGTCAGCTCATGATGAACCAATTAATCCTTTCAGTAGTCATAATCAAAAGCATTTGATCAAAGTGAACTATCTTCTCATAAGTTCAGCCGATAACTTATAAGATAAAAAAAGAATATCCTCATAAATTCATGCTATGTGTGTTTCTTGTAAAATATTTTATTCCCTGAATCCTAAGCACAACTTCACGCTTCATGTGATATAAATTTCTTATTTGAGTTTTATCAGATATCAAAAGCAAAAACTTAGTTTGACTTGGTTACTGTTCGACGTAATACATGTAACATTTAATGAAATATGAATATAAGAAATGCATCGTATAAGGTTTTAGAGGGCCATTTACACCGATTTATGAGGTGTTATTTTGTTATTTTGATAACATTGACACGTCGATAAAATTCAGTATTCTGATTAAGTAGTTTGAGCCAAATCTCATGAGGCCTTCGATCTGAGTTTTGTGCCTATTGACACTTGCCAACAAGGTGTATCTACAATTACTAGTTCAAATCTGTAAGTGTAGCTCAGTTCCTTCAATAATGAAGACGCATCATGCTGACGACTAAGCGTAAACACGAAATCTAGGACCACGGCTTTCTTCTAACTGAGTCTAAATATCTACTAACAGCTGAAAGTATATAGTAATGACTAGTTATGCAGCTTGGTATTCACACTGCAAGCCTGACTGATAGAAAGCAATAAATAACAGTAATTATCCCCTAATCAACAGACACTGAATGGCCAACTTTATCAGGAATAATGACAGTGTTATCGTATGCATACATTAAGCAGCTGAAAACGCAGTTTAACACACATTTAAACAAACCAAGATGTGTTAAATGATGAATTACGCATTGTGTAATATGCTTTTAGCATTAGACAACATTCTGAGAGAATAAACTGACGTAACATTTTAAAAAATGAAAGCATCGTACAGTGAAATAAATTCTTTAGACTTTTAATAATACTTTTTAACAGCTGTCTTAGATGTCATTTCATGATGGAGCGAAATTTGTTGAAAAACCAAAC